TCGTAGTAATCTGAAAGTTTAACCTTTTCCTTTCCTGGCTTATTGGGGAAGTAAGATAGTGGTCACCCTTGTTTTACATTTCCTTTTGATCCGAACCCCTAGCCCAGGACAAGAATCCCGGGCGCAGCAACGAGGTCCACGGTCTGCGACTCCCAGAGAACCCAATACTCCTTAATTAAGGAATATACCTTAAATCATAATAATAAGGCCCTTATAATTTAAGGTATATTCCTTAATTACGGGGTATTGGGTTCTCTGGGCTGGCTCTGGGCTCCTGGTAGACTTGGGCTAAGAAGGGGAGAGCTACGCATTCAGGATCCCTAAACCCTAAACCCTAAACTCTAAACCCTAAACCCTCAAGCCCAGGATAAATACAAATTGTTTAGAAAGTCAGTCGAGCAAAAGCAAAAAGCAAAACCCACACAACACACAGAACCTGAACCCTAAACAAGTTGTATAAACCCTAAACCCTAAGGCTCTCTTGGACGTTGCCCAGGGAAAAGGTCCTCAAACAAAAGCCCTAAACCCTAAACTCTAAACCCTGAAAGCCCTAAACCCTAAAACCTAAGCCCTACAAACCCTAAAACCCAAAAGCCTTAAACCCTAAACCCTACTGGTTGCTTCGAAGCCAAGAAGGGAAGACCGAAACCATGGAACCGGAAGCTCCCGAGTTCTGAAGGGAAGCTTTGTAGCCGGGGTTATGGTGTTGAGGAGTTTAGGGTTTAGGGTTTAGGGTTTTCGGTTTCGTGTAGTGCAGAGACAAGGCCCCGAAAAACCCCCACTTGCGGTAACTTCAAAGGCCTCAGAATTTTTAGGTCTTGGTTTTGTAGGGTCTAATTAGTGTCTAGAGGGCTTCGGGCTTCTGAATTTGAAGGACTAAAAGTGTTTAAGAACCCTAGTCCCGACTCTCGACCTAGAACCCGCGAAGTAGTCCTTTGGAGAAACGAGCATTTCCTGAGCGCTAAATAACACTAACGCCTAAAAGCCCCAGGACACGAGCTCAGAGACCGCAATACCCCTTAATTAAGGAATATGCCTTATAATTATAGGGGCCTTATGATGATGATGATTATTATTGTTATTTAAGGTATATTCCTTAATTAAGGGGTATTGGGTTCTCTGGGCGGGGACCTAAACCCTAAACCCTAAACAGAGACCTTTCCTCCGCAGGTCATGCCAATCTTCAGGTTTGTGCAGGAGAGGTGGGAGCAGGACAGGGGTCTGGGTGGAGAGTTTAGGGTTTAGGGTCCACGGCTTAGGATTTAGGGTTTAGGGTTTAGGGTCTCCGGTTTAGGGTTTAGGGTTTAGGATTTAGAGTTTAGGGTTTAGGGTTTAAGGTCTGGGAGTTTTGGGGTTTAGGGATTTAGGGTTTTAGGTGCTCTGTTGTCGCCCGGAAACCCTAAACCCTAAACCCGCTTATCTTTTAAGGGCGAAATGTACCGTAAAGCCAGTTAAAGGCTCAACTACCAGGTAGGGGTTCATAGTCTATTGGTATTGGGCTCCTACTTTTGGGAAGGGTCGTTCGGTCCTTCAGTATTCAGGTAGGATGTAACATGACATATGTGTTTCATGATTGCTTGCGGCTGCATACTGTAAATACGCGGCAGAAATTGACTTGCGGGTGTGGGGCGGTTCGAACTGCTAAATGCACGCCCAGGGCGGCCAACACACTACTTTTATGAAGGCCTCCTGCACCCTGACCCCTGAACTAGCTAGTGCGGCAGAATTAGAAATCAAGCCAAGGAATGGGCTATGTCATGACCGACTGCCGCTCCGCATGTCAAGGTGCTCGGGTGTAGCTCCCCCGAAAGTTGGCAGAGGATTTGCTGTTCTTGTTTAGGGCTTGCCCTTTTGGCGCCTCCGAGAATGGTACATACGCCAATTGCGGCTGCTTTGCGGCGGTTTCGCTGCGCTCCATGGCTTCTCCCTTCTGCGGCTGCCGTCTGTTGGGCCTTTCCGAAGACCCGATCACTGCTGACCGAAAGCTTCGATAAGGCCAGTCCGTCCGATGCCCCTAAGGACTAACTACCTAAATATCTATTCAACCATCCATCTATCTATCCATCCATCTATCCATCTTGATGCATCTATACCGATAAACATATGTAACTCCATAGGTCTTCTTGTGCCGGGAACCCCTACATATCTAGCCACATATGTCTTTATAGATACCTATATTCAGCATGTGCAAACAGATAGATGGACGAGTAGATAGATATGTACGGAGCATGACTTCCCTAAACCCTAGACCCTAAACCCCTAAACCTATAAGACCCTAAACCCTAAACCCCTAAACCTATAAGACCCTAAACCCTAAACCCCTAAACCTGTAAGACCCTAAACCCTAAACCCCGAAACCTATAAGACCCTAAACCCTAAACCCTCGGTAGCCCCTCTAGAAACGCTCCTTTGGGGCTTCCGTTCAGGGTTCCTTTCAGCGCGATCCCAGACCTTCCGATGGGCCTTTAAGAAAGGAAAAACCTGAAAACATAGCAAGGTCCCTAAAGAATGTTTAAGGCTTCATGCTTATGATTATAGAAAGCCTATAGAAACGCTTTCTAAATAAGATGATCGAGCGTATATTCCTTAACTTAAGGGACGTTGGAATGTCTGGGAAGTTTCCACTTCAGGCCACGGGGGAGCAAACCTCTGCCGAGTCGAAAAACGCTACGGCCGCAGCCTACTCCTCGAAGAAGCTGTTCCTGGCCCCCTTATAAGGGCTCTTATAGAAGGGTCTAGGGGTTTGGGGCGGTTCAGGGTTTAGGGGTTCAGGGTTTAGGGGTTTGTGGTTTAGGGGTTCAGGGTTTAGGGCTTCAGGGCTGTCTCCCTAGAAAGGTTTGGGGTAAGGGGCTCTTATAAGGCTCCCTTGAAGGCTTCCTGAAGGGTTTATAGGGTCCCTACCTTTTTTCAGGTTTGGGGTTTAGGGTCCGTTTAACGTTTGGGAGATTGCGGTTTAGGGGTTCAGAGACTACGGGCTTTTAGGGGTTATGGGCTTTAGAGTTTGGGGGTTTAGGGTTTTAGGGTTTGGGGTTTAAGGGTTTAAGGTTTCAGGATTTGGTTCTCAGGTTCTCTATTCAGGCCTAGAAGAGACATTGTAGGGTAATCAAAATAAGGTGCCACAGTGTACGGTCTTGTTATTATTCAAGGGTTCTGCAGAACATGCAAGGGCTTCACTAGGGTGTTGGACAGAGGGCTGTTCGAAATTTACAGTAACATGGGATTCAGCGAGGTTGCACATGTGTTCCAGAATCCGAACTTGTTTCCGACATACCTACACACCCTAAACCCTCATCCACCCTTAGCCCCTAAACCCTAAACCCCTTAACCCCTAAACCCTAAACCCTAAAACCCTAAACCCTAAACCCCACACCCTAAAACCCTAAACCCTAAACCTTCAATCACGTAAGCCTAAGCCAGCGAGAACTTAGGTTCCGTCGGGATCCTTGCTCCGTGGAGCCGCAGCGCAAGGTGGTTGTGCTCATTGGCATGACGGGCGTGGGCAAAAGTGCTACGGCCAACACGCTTTGTGGCGTGACTCGGATTTCCACCCTCAGAGTCCATGTACGGTTTAGGGTTGAGGGGTTTTGGAGTTTAGGGTTTAGGGTTTTACGGTTTAGGGTGTGTAGGGTTTATAGGGTTTAAGGGTTTAGGGCAGTTTATGGGGCCATGCACCTAGATATGTTTGAATCTCTCCATACAGGAGCCCCTTGTGAGGCCTGTGGGTTACCCAGAGGAGTTTACTGCAAAGGGGCGTTGGGGGTGGATTCTAGCCTCTCCGGAGAGTATTAAGACCAACTCATCGGAATAAACCCTATACCCTAAACCCTATAAGCCCTACAAGCCCTATAAACCCTAAACCCTAAAACTCTAAAGCCTAAGACCCTAAACCCTCAATCCCCGGACGCCCGAACCCAAACCCCAAGCCCCGCACCATGAACCCCACACCCCAAACCAACAGGCCCTAAACCGTGAACCTCAATATAGAAAAGGTCTACCAGAATCCCTACATCCGGAACCATATAGACCCTAGGCCCTAAACCTCAAGATAGAAAAGACTATGTTGGCGGCTCCTCAATAAATTATAGTATAATGGGCCTCCCAAAGCCTCTTCTAATTATCCTCTATCTATATATATACACACATATATACATATGTTTTTTGAGAGGGCAGCCTAGGCCAAGAGAGCATTTGAGACCTCAAGCTCTGTGGTCTCCGTCACGAGCGCTGAATCTCGGTCAACGAGGGCTTTAGTGATACCGCGTTAGTAACGGTTTAGGGTTTACCTGTAACCGGTTTGGCCTACAAAACAACCTTGGGGGCGAAAACTTACCGAATATACGGGTCCCTTGGTGTAAAACCGGACCTTCTCCGAATATCTCAGATTTCCGCAATCTAGCATGTTTCGGTATTTTGTGTGTTTTCTGCCAATTCTTTGTTGATTGCAGATATTAGGCTCGGAAGTAGTCATCAACATGGACACATCTGTAAGTCATGTACACAAGAGTTCTCAACAAGCTGTAATTAGATAACGTTGGACGATGTACGATCTGAAGCTATCCCCTGAAAGAACCTTCCTTACTTGGAGGTTCATGGGTAGTTATAAGTAGGGCCATAAGTCCCCTAATATGTATTATAAGTATAGCTGACCTACTTATAACCCTACTTATAAGTACCCATGAAGCTCCAAGTAACCCCAGCCCACCAACCTCGTCGAATGCCATTGTGGCCCCGGCTGGCTTTTGCTGCGCTGCAGCGGCTCGGTCGAGGCACGTCAAGGTGCAAGGGAACACAGCAAATGAGTGAATGTTGGGTTTCTTCAGTGAGAGTGAGAGAATATGAGAGGCCAGTGAGATGAAAGCTAGTTGGTTAAGGTATGTACCCATGTTCACATTCACACACAGCTGGTCAAACGACACGTTGTCGTTCTGCGAGGCTCAGCAGCTCTAGGTGTGTCGCACACAGGGCACGGAGTATCACACGCTCATGCACCATTCGAGCATTCACCCTCCGTGAGACTCTGCTCGGCCGGCCCACATAATCTTCTTGCATTTGTACTGCTTCTGCCAATGGGTTCCGAACCCATTGGCACATTTTGGAATCCTGGGTCAGGCGGAGACCCACATGACTGAGCATATGTAGCTTCGGTACCAGTTGAAAGCGGCTGATCATCCTGGCCGCCGACAAGAATGCACACTGCTGGTAGCTCAGCAGAAAAACCTGCACGAGCTTCGCAAGTTTTGCACCTTTGTGGGCAGGAATCCAATAACCTTCCCCATACAACTCCTTGAAGAAAAGATTCATCGCCTTGGTGGCTCTCACCTGAGTTGCTACTTTGTATTGTCCATGATAGCATACCTCTAAGTAAGGAAAATTGTAGCAGCCCATGTCTATACGGCGAGTCTAGACAAAACCAGAACAACAAGAACACAGCAGCTTAATCATTAGATAGAAACAGCATTGTCCCTGCGAGCCAAGCACCATTGCCATAAAAATTTCATCTTCCGTTTGATCCACAACATACCTCTGCAGGAGGTCCTCCAAAAACAGCATCATGTTCGTGGAGACTGCACCCTTGGACCAGTGGCCCAGAGGAAAAGCTTTCTCTGATTCGTAGTTGAAAGTATACTCATTGATCTCGTTGAGGTATGGTGTCAACCTCTGTCTTTGACAAAAAGAAAAGTACTCCCTCGACAAGTGAGCAAACTTGGCAGGCCAGGATCTGTCATCAAAAAAATGAGTGATCAAATGAATCATCGCTGAGCCCACATAGTTTCGAGCAATTCCATAGTGAAATGTGTGCCAAACATCCACAACAAAAAAGCTTTCTGCTGCACCACGAACAGTTGGAACGCCCATGAGAACTTCAGGCTCGGTCTCCCACGGAACCTCCTGATACAGTGTATCGCGCCATGAGGCCCCTTCCCGGAAGTCCTCCCATGGATGGAGGGCTGTGTTTCCCGGTCCTTCAACACCTGCCTGGCACAAATGGCAGATGCCAATGCATTCAGTCTTCGAGCTCGGTGCCTTTGGGCATCGAGCATAGTTCCGCTCAAAGTGCCCCAGCCGGATCAGGGCTGGGAGGTTCCCTTTGTTTGCAAGATGAACACACCATATCTTCAAGTTGCCATCCTTGGATGTAACTCCCTTGCTAATGAGCATCTGCATGTCCTTCGCGAACTCTGCCACAATCTTCTGCATGGAGGCCGGGTGCTCATTCTGCAGCTGCCTTGTCATCACAGACACCAAGAACTGGGTCCCCCAGGTGTTGCCCAGGAAGTTAAGGCGCATGCCATCCTCCCTGATGTTCATGGGTGAGATGGGCACACTTCTGATGTTCTTGGCTGTGCCAGCACCTAGTGCACCATGGCACGACAAGATCCAAAATGGCTTCTTCTTCAAGGTCCTGCCTTCATCAGTATGACTGTAGATTGGCAAGCAAAACTTCAAGTCGACCTGGTTGGCAGCTGCCAAGGCCCAAAGCTCATGTTCGGGCTCCACTAATTTGTATCTGCGCCAGAACTCAGACAGCAGCACATTCATCTGCTCAATGTCATTCGTACCACAAAGCTGGCCAAGCTGCTTCCTCTCGATGAGATACCGAACGCAATCAGAAAACTTCAAGTATGGAAAAGCTGCCAGTGGCCCTGGTCCAATGACAGCCCTCTTCAAGGGCAAATCAGCAGCTAGGCCATACTTCCTGAAGACACGATGCACACCTGTCTCAGCATCAGTCAAAGACACAGAACTAAGCTCTCGGAGAGCAGGCGTGTGCCCCCCCTCTGGATCCTCTGCCACGGCAGCGCTTGCAGTCTCCACGACGTGCTTGCATGCGGCCTCGGCGAATTTTGGGGGAAGCTTAAAAAAATGTGTTTGGGCTCGCGAATGGCAGAAAGCACAAACAAAAGTGTCCAGAGAGGACTGAGGGAGGGAGGGAGAGAGAGAGAGAGAGAGACACACACACACAGAGAGAGTTGAAGGGCCAGGTCTGTTTATGTCTCCATGCATGCACTCACAGCAGCTTCTCAGAAGCAGGTTCCGGGTACTTAGCCCACCCTATGTGCTTGATCTGCTCGGCCACCAGTAATGTACACAAAGTAGGGTGGACCTTCCCGATCCTTTCGGTTTAAGGAACCTTCACCACCACTGTTTGCTGCATTACGACAGCCTGTACAGGTCTGAAACTCAGAGATCAAAGCAGCCTCTAGCGTGTGTATCAAGCCGACTTCGTCCGCAGTATGTAGGATCCACATTGCTGTGAAGTATTTCTTTACATAGTCAGCAAACCTGCGTGGGACATTGGCAGTCACACCGATTTTGAACACACACAGCTGCACACCCATGTGCTCACGAAAGGCCGAAGCATGGTTCTTGCATCGCAGGAGTATCTTGCCACACGTAGGCGGTGGCATCTGCATTGATGGGGACATGTTCCTTACCCCAAAGGATTTCATGGCTGCCCACTCACTAGGTAGGCCAGAAAAGCTGTCCGCAAGATGAAGAAGCTTCTGTGATGTAGATCGAACCACATCCTGGTATCAGGGTGCTACTGTTGAGATTTCATTTATAGGGGCTTTTGGGGAGTCCTACCATGAAACCTACCATCAGTATCGAACAGGGAAGCCCTCATCCCACAGGCGCTCTCAAGCTCGGGAGGCTTGGTGGAGTGGGTGTCACTGCAAGCTGGAAGAGGCTCCAGAACAGCTCCTGGCTTTTCCTGAACTTTGGATTGCAGATCCAGGATGCTGACCGATTGAGGAACATGGGCATTTGTCCTTGGGGTCAACTCTGCAGGGCTGCTACCTGACTTTGTACAACCCACATATGCACACCCCCCAACTATAATTACAGAAAGTGTCATTATGTACCTCAGGCTACATAGGCAGCATCAGATCAAGACACCTTGGGAGTTTTCGAGGAGACTCGCGCATTGATGGGACTGCACATCGCTTTCTTCCTGTGAAAGGGCAGTCATAAGTCAGCAGATCCAGCAGGTCATCCATTGCCACAGGCCAGTCATATGCTAATGGTATGATGCATGGTTATGCGGGAACTCATGCTGGGTTTAGGCTAGATCTAGAAAGATTACTGGGGTCAATCGGACATTTATCCCTACACCCTACTTTGGTTTGGAGGACTTATATAGTTGCACTCAGTGGAATGTACCCTAGACCACCCTACTTTGGTTTAGAGGACTTATTTAGTTGCACTCAGTGAAATGTGGAAGCATAAGCAGCGGTCCCATCATCGAGATGCAGCCAATGCAACAATACTCCCAAGAAAAGCTTCAGTGATTTGTGCTACAAATGTAAGGCCCCTGCTCCATTGGCGACTTGCCGTGCCAGCTGCTTCATCAGTGGCCCAGGCTGCATATCTGGCATGTGGATTCGCAATGTAGCAAAGAGTTGGCTGCTTGTTCAATGCTGGCCAAGCATTCATAGATGTCTTTGGTGCAACAACACATCTTTTATTGTCCGCGCACACAGTTTTAGGGTGATCCTGTGCTCAGCCTTGAATTTGCTCCATTATGATGGGTGTCGAGTGACACGGTTGATGCAGGGAAACAGAAAAGGCACGCTCTAAAGTCGCGTGTTCGCGGCGATGGCATGCAATGCATGTCATCCCGGCCCAAAGCCCCTAAAACCCCTATTTAGATGTGGACTAGACAGACCTCGAAGCACTGTAGCAGTAGAGAGTCCATCTGATTATATTAGATAGCAGAAACATTCACACACACACACACACACGGCAACTGCTTCAAGTTGCAAGGCATGGTTGCCAAAAATCCCCTGGGCGAGGCTCGGATCAGCTCCAGCACCATAGTGGTACTCAGCTGTCAGCCTTCCTTCAGCTTCTTGAGGAGGTTCCTGTTGAGAAGACTACAAAGGGTTCACCTAGTTGTTTGTCTATTTATGGGTTTAACTTGTGTATGCAAAGCAAGATGTAGACTGTTAACAGTTAACAGGACAAACCATGACCGAATGGAGCAACCACAGGAGCGATAGTTTTATAGTTGACAGTGAATCTAAGAAGCAGCGAAGGGTCATCCAATCCTTCTCCCATCCCACATCATGATATCATGGAAAACATGTGTCCAGGTGCTAGCGAGATTCTTAGCCAGTGTCTCGACCGACCCCACACGGCTGCACCTGAGTGGCACAGTAGCAGCACTGTTGAGTCACAACAGGTGGCGATGTGGGCACATGGGAAGCTGTGCTGACAAAGCACGTAACCGTGGTTTTCTGCATTTGCCCATCCAGCTTCCCCGCAAGCCTGACACGTGAATTTTGGGGTTAACCAGGAAGTATTGCATCGGAACTTGGGGGGGCTCTTGTGCGGTATTGGGCATACATGATGTTGGTGGGCCTCTTGAACTCTTCCTCAGGAAGGCTCTTGTTGGTCAGCTGCGCACACTCAGCTCGACATTTCTCCATCTTTTCATTCTCATCTTCCAGGACGCCGACGACATCCTCCAATGCCTTCACAGTCCTGGGCTGAAACACCTACCGGATGGGCCTTTGCTGCTATTGGGTTCGGCTCGGGTTTCCATACTTTACCAAGGGTTTAGATAGGGGTTAGGGGAAGAAGGGAAAACCGGAAAAATGACAAAAGCCTGTGGCAGGAACGATAGCAAGCCCTTGTGAAAGTTTGACAATGATGGAATCTTGCAGCCTCCTGTAGAGTTATATGATTGCATGGTGGTTGGACATCAAGGGTTTTGTTGTGGGGCTAGTCATATTTAACTGGGTGTCCTGTTGGCTTTCTTCTTGTCTGCACCGTCCGGGATGTCGGGGATGTACTCCTCGAGCTCAGCGAGCAGCTTGTGGAGCTTGGCAGACTTGGAGAGCAGCGAGTCAGAGAATTTCTTGAAGTTGGTCAGCTCCTGTGCGGGATGCCATTGTAGTTAAGTCGAGACATACATACATACATACATACATACATACATACATACATGCATGCCCACATACCTACACACCCACACATACATACAATCATATATACATACCTACATACCTATTTACTTACTTAGCTAGCTACCTATCTACCTATCTACCTACCTACCGACCTACCGACCTACCGACCTACCTACCTATACCTACCTACCTACCTACCTACCTACCTACCTACCTACCTACCTACCTACCTACCTACCTAGACCTACACACCCATACATACACACATACACACATACATACATGTATACATGCACACTTGCACACTTGCATACATGCATACATGCATACATGCATACATGCATGCATGCATACGTACATACGTACCTACACACACACACACCTACACGAACTTACATCCATGAACCCAAGCATGCATATAGACCTATACATATATACATACCTACATACATACATGCATACAGACAGACAGACACAGACAGACAGACAGACAGCAGACATATTACAGGTAGTTTCACATACACACCAAAACACACACACACACATATATATATATACAGACACATTCACAGATGCATGCATGCCTACATACATATGACCAAAAATAACAGACAACAAACAAAAGAAGCAAACACACACAGCAATCAACACCAACACACTACAAACCAAACCAAACAAACAAACAGGCTAGTGAAGAAGCAACACCCACACAAACATACATACATGCACACATACATACATAAACCTGAGTAGACAGTTATACAGTTATATATATATATACATATACAGGATTCATACATGAGGGCAAACGAAAAATCATGCATAGAGGCAAAACACATGCGCACACACACACACATATGGCATGTCACACAGGCACACACAAAGACCGACATGTCTATCCCTCCAGCCCTACACCCAAGGTATGTCCTGCTGGCCCTGGGTGAGCTCATTGGCCTTCTTCTCCTTCTCCTCGTCGGATGACTCCTGGTCGCTGTCAGACACAGGGGCCACTTTCTCCAAGACGCCACTCGTCGGGCCGCTGAGGTCAAGCTTCTTCTTCCCCTGACAGAAGATGGGTACATGATCTGTTGAGGCTCTGGTTGCAGGGACATCAACAGAATTGGTTCGATAAGTGTGTCGGACATACATGCCACACTGGGATTACATGGGGCTCCTCATGCAGTTTGGACAGCACAGTTTGTCTATCGAAGTCAGCCCAGGCACCATCTCTTGCTCTTCATGTTTTTCAGTGTCGATCTGCTGGTCGTTGTCGGAGTCATCTTCGTTGTACGTGACATAGTACTTCAAGATCTTCTTGTTGTAGCGGTCTTTCCTTCCATGATAGCACAGAAGCACATGTTGTTTAGCTCGAAACATGCAGCAATGCCATGCCAACATCACCTTAAGCTTTCATTAAGAACAGACTGTCAGATGAACCAATCATCCCCCCACAAAACCCCAGTTGCCACTTCGGCGTTTAAAAAGACAAACATGATGATCAGCTTCCACTGCAGTAAAGTCCATGCATACATCATGTTGCAACAGAATATAGGCTGAAACTTTCATGCAGCCAGCAAGCTTGACCAACTTCTCATTTCCGGGCTTCTTGCAGTACTTCACCACATCCTTGATGTAGCCCCTAGGCTGCGGAGCGGCTGCTGATTCTGCAAAGAACTGGGTGCTGGGGCTTCTGGGTCGGACGAGGTAGATGTATGGAAAATGCCACTTGGCCACAAGGGATTGCAACTGGTGTTCTGCGACAGACAAATTCACTAGCCCACATATAGGACCTTTAGTAGGGTGGGTTGTTTAAGGGCTACCTCCGGGGAAGATTGTTTGCCTTTGGACAACTTCTGTTGCTTTGGGACAGGTGACCCAGGAAACCCAGGGCACAACCAAAGACTATGAAAGGTCTTCACTGTTCCATCGGGATAGCCAGTTTATCCTTGTCTAGGAGGGAGCGAGGGAGAGAGAGAGAG